TTATGGAGAATATTGATGAGTTGAAGATGAATGAATGGGGCGAAGGCTGTTGTTAATATATAGTCTGGGATATAGGCAGTGGAAAACACAGACACTGGTTTTGTTTGTATGGAAAACCAGAGGCAGTAGAAAAGCACATGGTTTTGGTTTGTGAGGTGTGTTGTGTGTGTTTTTGTTTGTTAGATGATAAGGATCTAAATCTCTTATCCAATTAAGAATCTATCAACAGTTCTGTGAAGGACTTCACGATAGTTGTTGTAGGACCACACAACTTCAACTTGCACCTGCAAATGCTGGATTATTGCTCATTAGAAACGACAAAAGACTATGGCTTTCTTAATGAAGGACAGAAGATAATAATGCTTACGTGTTTTTGAGTGCTGTATCATCCAACTGAGTACAGTGTTTACAAGGAGAATCATATAGTACAGAACTTATGTTTGGTACGTGGAACCAAAACCATTAAGTAGAGAGATTGAAAGTAGCTGGGAGAAATATCAATCGGTGTGGCCAAATACCTGGACCTTATCATATATGGATTAACCTTACCCGTGTACCAGTGGATCAGAATTGGATAAGAGATATCAGCATTCTATTGTAAGGTAAGAAATTAAAAAAACTGGTGCTGACATATTAACTTGTTAGCATTATACAGTACTTACACAAATGTGAAAAGTAACTTTCTGAAGTAACTTGCGTGAATTCTAATTGTGCAATTAAATAAAGAATTCTTGGTCAGTAACGTAAGGAAAATCTCTGAACCAGTTATGATAAAATAATAGTGAGTGTTAAAGCATATGTACGATGTGGCGCATATTTTTCAAAGACTGGAATATAAATTGTTCTTTCTATAAACAATTCATCCCCTCTTGATCTTCTTTAATTTAACATGAGATCTACAAAAGATTGATAGCATGATGACTTTTGTATGTAAACTAATAAGTACAATGATTATAAAATTCAACTACCAGTGTTCATTTTTTTTATTGCACTATATCACTTATCATAATTACACGTCTTTATCTTTTGACATCAAGGACTAAATAAGTTTTTACCCATCATTTTTCAGCACTTAATCATGGGAAGGATGCATTATTTAACTAGATAATATCTCGAAGGAATGAGTTGAATCTGAGTTTGAGTTTGTGTTTGTTAACCACAAGTCTTTCTGGAAAGAAACTTTTTAAAAAAATTTATTTGCCGTCACACTTTTTTTTTTTAAGAATACATAGTTATTTATAACAAAATTTTACTAAAGATTTTTTCAACTTCTAATCTTAAACACAGCTACAACAACTATTATCATATGTATGATATAATCATTATAAAGAATCTTTTGACCTTTATAATCTCCTATAACACAACTAATTATAATAAAAATATTAAATACAATTAACCACAATTAAGTTTACATATCCTCTTCCATAAACTTAAATAATGTTTCTGTTTTTTTATCTGGTTCTTCTATTTTTTATTGAGGTTTCTCATAACTTCACTCACATTACATCTTCTTATGACTGACCTAGTTTTTCACTATTTTGATAATCGATTTTGTTTTTCTTCTGGTTGACTTGTTATTTTCATTTTCAACGACCAATTTATTCTTTGTCTGATTTCTTCTTAACTTTAGCTAACTAGTTCCTAACTAGTTTCTTATCTTTGTGATTGTCATTGATCATGGTTCGTATCAATAGGTCAAGATCTTTTTGAAAGATTGAATAATCCTTGCATAAGAAGGTTGATCGTCTCTTTTTTTCTTGTCCTCTAATCGATAATTTTTTCAACCGTGTTAAGAGAATTTTAATCATTTCTACTTGTAATTTAATAGGAATAATAGTATATATGTTCAACTTTTTTACTCATTTTCTAATCAATGGACTCCATAGACTTTCCTTGCCTCAGATTTCTTTTATAGTTTAAGAGTGAGATAAGCTCTTGTTTGCCGTTTTCTTTCTTCCTTATGCTTCAATTCAAGTGCTCGGGCTTAGGAGCTATGTGCTAATAGATTTCTATAAAGACCAAACGAACTTCAAATTAATTTTATTCTAATATTAGAGAAATAAAAGCAATTTGTGGGCTACAGAGGATACTTTTTATTTTCAATTTCTGGGTTCAAATACATTATTTTATTCTTTTTCAGTACCTCATTATTACATCTATCAATTTTTGGGTTTATTTTAGACAAAAGAAAAATCTTTATCTTCTATCCCAACGCCCTGGTGTAAAAATAAAAACTTTTTTTTTTCATTTTAATTAGAAAAAACTCACGTCACATCTATCACAAGTGATTAGTACCATAAAGAACACTTGTGTGATTTAATGATATGTATTAGTCTCATACAAGATAGGATTACATTCTGTAAAAATATATTAACCCTTAATAGGCTTTTTGCTGGGAATCACATAGGCATATAGCATAGGATAGTGTTGTTCATAAAAATTAATTGTGTTGACATCTTATTTTGAAATAAGATGTAAGAAAGCTGTGAAATAAAAACTGTAAGAAGTAATTCCATAGGTACCAGAACTTGGAAAATCTGAAAAAATTGAAATCACACAAATTTGGAAGCATTTTTTTTTCTTTTTTTCTTTGTGTGTCAATTTAAGTCATATACATCTAATCGTAACACACACACAGCAACGATTAAAATTTTGTAAAATCAGGTCATCAACATTGCTATAATTTATAGAATTACGTGGCTAATCAGTGGCATATATCATATCTTTATGACAATATTATTATGCTAATATTAATCATAATTGTTCTAAGTCTAAGAATTGGGACCCCAAGTACTCAAATACATGACTGTTCTTAGAGACTCCTCTGCGTTCCTTCTCTTCTCATCTCTCAGCTTATTTGAAATTGCTGAAGAAGATGAAGAAGAAGAATAAGGAAAATCCAGTTTCTTGGCCTGAGTTGCTGAGCCTATTTGGTTCTTGGCATGTTGAGCCATAGATTTCATTGTGTTGTTCATTCTGCAATACCCTTGATCCTTCAACGTCTCCACTACTCCAACAGTGGTTGCAACAACCAAAGCTCCACGATTTGCACACATATTAAGTTATCCTTTACTGTGTACTGTGAAGTTACTGACTTTGAACATAATCTGGTGCTTATATAGATTAAAGATGGAGGCTTGGAGAGGAAAAACCGGATGCTATTTTGTTTATAATGGGTGGTTTGAAGTAATAGATAGCCATAGGTTTTTCTCCTCACTCTCCATGTCTTAGGTTGCCACATTGACATAGCAGTTCTGTCTTTTAATGATACTCTTTTGTCTTGTTACAGCTGAGATACTTTAGTTGAGTTTGCATATTTTAATCATTTCTGGCTGCTGCCACTAGCATTATTGCAAGGCTCTTGCACATGGTTTTGCCACAAGCCCATAATATAACAATTTTGGACCCGTAGTTTGGGAGTGTTTTTTGTGCACTCTATTCAATGATGGTGATTTGGTGGGGGCAAATCAAGAGAAAAAACCCATCCAACAGTGTTATAATATATATTTATTATTTAACGTTGTCCACTACTCTACCAAATAAATTTGTCTTTAATGCATACTACATCTTATCTTATTTTAAATACTCTTTCTAAATTTTAATTTCAATATTCTTAGATCTTATCTTTCTACAAATAAATAAACTTTAGTACATTCTACAAAAATAATTCAAATATAAAATCTTAATTGTTTATTAACAAAACCACTAATATCATAATAAGGTACAGCTTATAACTATAATTTTTAAGATATTCTCTGTTAACATTTATATTTTTTATAGAAATTGATAAAAATATGTTTTAGTTTTATTTAATAACTAATTAGCTTTATTTGATAAAATAAGAGTTATTTAGTTTTAATTTATTATTTAAAGTATCTATAACTCTAGTTTTTAAGAGTTCACTTTCTTGATCACATCCTCTATTTATCTATTTATCGCTATTATTATTGATAATGTTAATTTAAAAGGACCTTATGAAAATTGCGAGTAAAAATGTGTTAAATAACGTGGAAAAAATATATCAGTTATTAATAATTAAAGTTAATTGATTTTTCATCGTTTAATATGAGTAATTACAATTTTGATACTTTATAGTGCCTGTCATGTAACAAGAAGTCATTAATTGTTTGTATCTGGTTAATTACTATTGAAATAATATGTAGTGTTATGTTAATAGGTGACTAAAATATATATTTTTTAGCTTAAAAACACTTAAAATTCTTAGGATTAGATAAATAAAATAAGACAAAATTTTATAATTGAAAAATTAAAATGATTTGTTGAAGATCTCACTTTAATTAAAGATAAAAACAAATTTATATTAAATAAGTAGGTAGAAAAATTATTTTATAAAGTTGATTTAAATTTAAAAACTACTTTTTAATATACCAAAGTAAAAATAAAGATTTAAATTTTTTGAAATAATAAAAAGGCGGACAAAATTTTAAAGACTAAAATTAAGTTTATGAAAGTAAAAGTATATTTTGTAGTGGTAATTAGGAAAATAACTGATAAGAGATACTGAATTCAACGTGACCAATGAATGCACGAGATAACGGGTCCATGAATAGGGTTTGGTCAGAGGGGCTTAAGATCCAAACTAGGCCCAAATAAGATTCGAATGAGTGAGTAGTGGAGCCCATGAAGAACCTAAATGGATTAAAATGAAAGATGAGAAATTGACAATCTTGTTCATTTCATCGGATTGGATAGTTCCTTGAAAAGTGGACATTTTTCATTATCCTATTGTTTTACCTTTGATGTCTTTGTTTTCCCCGTCAAGTTCAGCCATTATTCCATTTTATTATTCATCATGCACTGTTTTGGATAAACACCATGAACACACACCACTTGTTACTGTATATATTCTTTCCTCACCAATCACTATCACGGATTACCAACTTTCTTGGTAAATGTTAAAGCATTCTACTCCCAATCCAGTTTTACAAGCTCTATGCATAATAGTTCTACCAATTTTCACATACAAATATAAAAAGTTACATAAGCACTCCAACATTCTCGTAATAATAGATAACAGAGATTCGACACTGCAGTGAATTGAGAAAAACACTAGCTGTGCTGATGATAAAAAGACTGCATTTGAGTAACATTTTTGATGAAGTATTTACAGAAGAAAAAATAATACATTCTCTCATGAGTTAAAATTAATTCATATAAAAGTAAATGATAAATAGATTAATAATATATTAACTCATGAAAGAAGTTTATTTTTTCTTAATTTATGCAAAGAGAGTCTAACATCATACCTAGCAGTGAGTTGTTGAGGATTTGATGAAGGTGAGGCATTAGTTAGGACCCCAACAACTCAAGTACATGACAGTTCGAAGAGATTCTTCAGCTTTTTTAAATCTATGAGCAGCATCGGCATTACTGTTCTTGGCTGCCTGATGATGAAGCACATTCTGGAAACCATGGTTAACAGCAAGATGGTTCTGTGAGTTAGAGGGAGCAGGGATTGTTGAGGATGCACCTTTGTGAGAAGTTACGAGGTTGTCTTTTGTGGGTGTTCTATGTTCGATTTCTTCCTCCATGCTAGGAACCACACGCCAGAATATCTCAGCTGATGCTGATGTTGATGCACCTTGCAACCAACTCCGACAACTTCAAAAACATCACACTTCCCTCACTCATGGATTCCTCTGGAAGAAGGAAGTGGCTAGATTCGATCCTATAAGAACAATCAAGATTAAATAAAACAACTTGTTGTAAACAAAAGATCTCACACCTACTCATTCATTTAAAAATTACAACTCGTCACAACTCAGGTCTTCATATATATATATATATATATATATATTCAAAATTTTAAAATAATAAATTTGTAAAATTTTGATTTTATACGATATTCTACTCATTTATTTTTGGGTAAAATATGTTTTTAGTCATTTTGGGTTTAGTTCTTATTTGAAAGTTTTGTTCCTTTTAGTCTTCTTAATTTTGAAACTCTTATTTTTAGTCCTTAAAATTGAACAGCGTTAAATTTTCTTTGATGTGACAAACGGCAAGCCACGTGTTATGCCACTTTTCCCGACTACTTTTAATTGACGTAGCAGTAAAGGTGTAATGGTCGGTCGGCCTGGTGGGTGGTCGGCCACTCGGCATCTACTCCAACGAACTGTTTGGCTTCACTTCCCTTTGTCTTACCGTTCGGTTTCTCCTCTAGTGCACCGTTTTGCCTTAGTCACTCTTCTGTCTTTCGCTTACCGCTCGGTCTTTTACTCACCTCTCGGTCTTACACCCACACACTTAATCGTTCGGTCCTGCACACAAACATACACTTAACCGTTCGGTACGGCACACCTACACACTTAATTGTTTGGTTCTGCTCAGAAACATACAACTAATGTTCGATCCTGTACACTCACACACTTAACCATTTGGTTCTTCGTGTTCACATCACTAATCGTTCGGTTTTGCATACCAGACCGACCACCAGACCGTGTGGCCGACCGACCACCAGACCGAGTGACCGACCGAGTGGCCGACCGACCACCAGACCTTTACTGCCACGTCACATAGTAGTCAGGGAAGGTGACATTAGACGTGGGCTTGTCGTTTGCCCTATCACTCAAAAGTTAACTACGTTCAATTTTAATGACCAATTATAAAAGTTTCAAAACTAAGAGGACTAAAATAAACAAAACTTTCGAATAGGAACTAAACCCAAAATAATTTAATAGTTAAGGGACTAAAAACATATCTAAACCTTTATATATATATATATATATATATATATATATATATAACTCATCCTTCAACTGTTATAGGAGTTCAATTGTTTTGACAAGCTTTCTTAATAATCTTTTTAAAATAAAGAGTAATAATATTTTAAAATTACAAAACAAAATACATTTACTTAATAATTCAACATAAAAATAAGTTTTTAAATTTATTTAAAGATTATATATATATATATATATATATATATATTCTAAGTTTAAACGTAAAATCAAAATTTATTTATTTTTTAAGTTTTGATATATTTTATTTTTCAAACTAAAAAATAAATTAATATAATTCTTCTAACTCAAAAAAAACGTTAAATTTTTTTTTCGTAACAAATAGTATTTCAATTATTTAAGTTGAAACTGTTAAGTAATATAAATAACTAAAACACAATTTCAAAAAATTTAACTAAATTGAGTTATATATAATTATGTTAATTCCTTTATAAAGTTTAAGGTTTAATAGCCAATTTAGTCCTCACTTTGGTTGAAAAATCTCAATTTAGTCCCTCGTTATAAAAGTGTTTTGAATTAGTCCTAACTTTTAAAATAGTGGGTCAGAGGTCCTTTCTGTTAAATATAAGTTAACAAAATTAATGGATGATGATGTGACACAACTTAAAGCTAACGAGGGACCAATCTAACACATCAGCTTTAAGCTGTGTCACATCATCATCCATTAATTTCGTTAACTTATATTTAACGAAAGGGACCAATCTGACCCACTATTTTAAAAGTTAGGACTAATGTAAAACACTTTTATAACGAGGGACTAAATTGAGATTTTTCAACCAAAGTGGGGACTAAATTGGCTATTAAACC